TTTTGGTATTTTATTGTTGTAAATATAAAATTACATTAAAAATATATTTCATTTACATTGTATTTTTTTGAGTAATAAAAACATTATGATAAAAATAAAGTTTTACATATTTAGTTTAAAAAATTGAAAATATGTAAATGAATATAAATATAAAAGCAAATGAGTGAAAATGCAGATAAACGACATGAGAAAAAAATAAAATAAAATAATTGATGTTAGTTATTAAAATAACGTGATTGTTAGGAGGCTGAAGGTCTAAAGAGAAAGATAGTATCTTATTTCATTCAAAGATATTGAACAATCTCATGAAATATAGATGAAAATTCTGATGAATAAATTGGTGAGTAGTTAACTACAAATCTACAAAAGTAAATATGTATATATAACAAAATCTCAAACAAACATATTTATTTTCAGATAGATAGGAACTACCGATATTGAAATAATCGAGCAAATGAACATCACTTCATATTTTCATACAATACAAATAAGAGAAATTCAAATAAAATATTATTTTATATCTATAAAATATTTTTTTTTTTGTTAAATTTAAATATAAAAATACTAGATTAATTAATAGTATTTTTGTCACTAAATTTAACAAAATTGTAAAAGAAAATCTCGCGCATCGCGCGAGCTATATTCTAGTAAGTATGAATACACAACTAATGTGTTGATTGAATACACGATCTAGATTTAAAAACTGGATGGAATCCTTGATAAAATCTATATAATGCTTAGAAACATTCATGATTGTTTTGAACGAATAAGAAACATGAAACTATTAATCATGAATGTGTATACTTACCAAAGCGTACCATATGTATGGAGTATGGAGAAAGCTGATGTGTATACATACCAATGTTCGGGGATGATTGGTATTGTGACTTTAAAAAATTTGAAAACTTTAAAATAACTAAAATTTTTAAAAGTTAAATTTTTGCCAGTCACACTTTTACTGTCCTAAAATATCTCACAGTTTCTAAAATCTCTAACAACTTTTGTTTTTGTTCTATATTTCTTACTTTTTTTTAAAGTTCATAATAGATGACTTTTTATAGAAAAAAATCGCAGCCCTAAGGGTTGATTGGAAGAGACTTTAAAAACTTTTTGCTTTAAACATTTATTTTAATATAAAACTGTAAAAACTATTATTTTAAATAATAGGCTGTGACTTAAAAACAAAAAAAAAAGTCTCGAATTACTTGCTTTAGAAAAAATAAACGTAACAAGAGTAAAAGTAGTTATTTTGGCTGTGAGAAAATTAAAGATGCTTTTAGGACTGCTATAGTGTTAAAGCGTGATTGGAAAAAATAGATTTTAAAAACTTATGTAAGACATCTTTTTTTATGAATAACTTGTTTAAGAAGGTGTTTAGGAAGACCTTCCTAAACAAATGACAATCTTTCATAAACTTATTTTTAAGAAACGCATTCCTAAACAAGTGAAAATCTTTCATAAACTTTTTTTTATGAAGGTTTTCTACTTGTTTAGAAAGTTGTTTAGGAAGGCATTCCTAAACATGTGAAAATCCTTCCTAAACTTATTTTTAGGAAGGTTTCCTACTAGTTTATGAATGTGTTTAGGAAGGCCTTCCTAAATAAGTGAAAATCTTTCATAAACTTTTTTTAAGAAGGTTTCTTATTTGTTTAGGAATGTGTTTAGAAAAGTCTTCCTAAAAAAGTGAAAATCCTTCGTACACTTTTTTCAAGAAGGTTTCCTACTTGTTTAAGAAGGTGTTTATGAAGACCTTCCTAAACAAATGAAAATCCTTCATAAACTTATTTTTAAAAAGGTTTCCTACTTGTTTAGAAAGATGTTTAGGAAGGCTTTCCTAACAAGTGAAAATCCTTCCTAAACTTTTTTTAGGAAGGTTTCCTACTTGTTTAAGAACTTGTTTAGGAAAGTCTTCCTAAACATGTGAAAATCCTTCCTAAACTTATTTTTAGGAATGTTTCTTACTTGTTTAGGAATGTGTTTAGAAAAACCTTCCTAAACAAGTGAAAATCTTTTCTAAACTTATTTCTATGAAAGTTTCCTACTTGTTTAGGAAGGTGTTATAGGGAGGCCTTCCTAAACAAGTGAAAATATTCCCTAAATTTTTTTTAAGAAGGTTTCTTACATGTTTATGAAGGTGTTTGGGAAAACCTTCATAAACAAGTAAAAATCCTTCCTAAACTTATTTTTTAAAAAGTTTTCTACTTGTTTAGTAAGACCTTCCTAAACAAGGGAAAATCCTTCCTAAATTTTTTTAAGAAATGTTTCCTACTTGTTTAAGAAAGTGTTTAGAAAGGTCTTCCTAAGCAAATGAAAATCTTTCATAAAATTATTTTTAAGAAGGTTTCTTACTTGTTTAGGAAGGTGTTTAGAAAGGCCTTCCTAAACAAATGAAAATCTTTCCTAAACATTTTTCAAGAAGGTTTCCTACTTGTTATCTCAAATTATAAACCTAGAGAGAACACTATTGATAACTTTATATTTCTCTCTATTTATGTGATTCAAATAGTACTTATCAATTGGAGAATACATGAATCGAAATATCGTATTTTCGCAATATAAATATCTCGAAAACTCTTTTTGATAAGTTTATCTTTCTTTTCTGTCGTTTCTTCATCAGTTTGTACCTATCTCCTCAAATATTTTGTCACTCTTCACTATATTGCAAAAATTAGGACCACAAAGGTCCCATGGTTTTTTTTGTATCCTTTACATACAAGAAAGTTAGTTTCTTTCTAACATTTTGCAACAAAAGAAGTTAAGTTGGGTTTTTTCTTTCTTACAAACATGCTTATAGTGTCTTAAACCACTTTTGTTTATTATCTGACCAAGTCTTGATCTTTACTTTATTCATTTGTTTATGTATGAAAAAGGTAAAAAGGTGGTTGTCACAGATCATCACATTCTGTTTGTTAAGTTTATATCTTCTTCAGTAAAGTTCATGTGTCCTTAATTTATCATTGCAAATGGTTTTTCACATAAAAAAAAGACTAACTTTTCTTTTACTTCACCAAGAGTGAAGCCACTTGCTCGAACTATGAAAAATAAACAAATCTTGAACTCTGTTCTTATTATTCTCTGATCGAAAACATCGAAATTTTACAAGAGTATTGTACGTATGTAATGTAATCATTGGCTTTACATTGCTATGTTTCATTCTTTTTGTGATTAAACAAAAACATATATAACTTCTCTCTAACGGAACCCACCTCTTGAATTTAGCAAACCAGGAAAACCCCAATGAGAAGAGAAAACAAGATTGGGATATAAACCTTCTTTGTTCATCTGATTTGTGATGCGCATATAAATGTTAAAGATCCTTCTTGGTAAAGCTAATGCCTTAAGAACCAACTTCCTTGATCGGTTTATTCTAAACCCTTTTGCTCGAATCTCGTTCTTCTTCCCCAAGTTCTGTCTTTTAGTCGACCTTGTTGTTGTTGTTGTCAGTTTCTCGTGTTGATCAGTTAGCTTCTTGTACCGACATGATTGTCTCCACCGGTTCTTGCCTAGAATCTGCAACATCTTTGATTCCTCAAAGGATGTGTTTGAGGGCAATACAGAGTCAATGTTCAATGGAGAGGTAAGGAGAAGAACACTGTGATGCTGATGATTGTGAGAGAAGTTGGTTAAGGCATGTGTTTATAAAGATTAGAGAGAGTGAGAAAGATTCTTAAAGCACATGGTTTTATTCTTTTATTTACATTTCAAGCCTCAAAAAAATCTCAATTCTGTTAAAATGAGCAGCTCTTGTTTAACCACATAAGCAGATGCTCTGTATATGGACCTACACGGTTCAGGGCTGAGACTATGATGCTACAAAAAGAAGACAAATCTTTGTTTTTTTGGGGTTATGTGAGAATTAGTTTGAGATGGGAAAATGAAATTTTAAAGATGGGGTTTTGCATAAATGGGAAAGAAAAATAATATTCTATTTTTAGTTTCATTTGAAATGCTAAAATAGAATCCGACAAGAATTTTCCTTTGTTTTGTCCCATTTCAGACA